TCCTCACAATAGTTGTTATGCTTGAGCCCATCGTTGCAGCCACTGTGTCCGTCCATCTTGTTGAGAATCTTCCTGTTTTTCACTGACCCTCTACTTTACCATGCATGGTGTCCTTCTCCAGGGACTGGTGCCTCCTGATAACATGTCTAAAGTACATGAGACGAAGTCATCCTCACTTCTAAGGAGCATTCTGGCTGTCCTTCTTCCAAGACAGATTTGTTTGTTCTTCTGATACTCCATGGTGTATTCAACATTCTTTGCCAATTCAAAGACATCAGTTCTTTCTTCCATCTTTCTTATTCATTGTCCAGCTTTCCCATGCGTATGAGGTGATTGAAAATACCATGGCTTGGGTCAGGTGCACCTTAGTCCTCAAAGTGACATCGTTTCTTTTTAACACTTCAAAGAGATTTACCCAGTGCAACACGTTGTTTGATTTCCTGACAGCTGCTCCTTTGAGCATTGATTGTGGATCCAAGTAAAATGAAATCCTTTAGAACTTCATTCTTTTTTCTGTTTGTCATGATGTTGCTTATTGGTCCAGTTGTGAGGATTTTTGTTTTCTTTATGTTGAGGTGCAATCCATACTGAAGGCTGTAGTCTTTGATCTTTGTCAGTAAGTGCTTCAAGTTCTCTTCACTTTCTGCAAGCAAAGTTGTGTCATCTGCATATTGCAGATTGTTAATAATGAGTCTTCCTCCAATCCTGGTGCCACCTTCTTCTTCATATAGTCCAGCTTCTCGCATTATTTGCTCAGCATACAGATTGAATAAGTATGGTGAAAGGATACAACCCTGACCTTTCCTGACTTTAAACCACACTGTATCCCCTTGTTCTGTTTGAACGACTGTTTCTTGGTCTATGTACAGGTTCCTCATGAGCACAATTAAGTGTTCTGGAATTCCCATTCTTGTCAATGTTATCCATAGTTTGTTATCATCTACATAGTCGAATGCCTTTGCATAGTCAATAAAACACAGGTAAACATCTTTTTGGTATTCTCTGCTTTCAGCCAAGATCTATCTGACACCAGCAGTGATATCCCTGGTTTCACGTCCTCTTCTGAATCCAGCTTGAACTTCGGCAGTTCCCTGTTGGTGTACTGCTGCAACTACTTTTGAATGATCTTCAGCAATTTTTCTTGCGTGTTATGTTAATGATATTGTTCGATAATTTCTGCATTCTGTTAGATCACCTTTCTTTGGAATGGGCACAAATAGGAATTTCTTCCAGTTGGTTGGCCAGGAAGCTGACTTCCAAATTTTTTGACATAGGTGAGTGAGCACCTCCAGCACTGTATCTGTTGAAACATCTCAATTGATATTCTATCAGTTCCTGGAGCCTAGTTTTTCACTATTGTCTTCAGTACAGCTTGGACTTCTTCCTTCAGTACCATTGGTTCTTTTTCACATGCTACCTCCTAAAATAGTTGAATGTTGACCAGTTCTTTTTGGTACAGTGACTCTGTGTATTCCTTCCATCTTTAATGCTTCCTTTCCCTGTAAAATCTTTCAGTATTGCAACTTGAGACTTGAATTTTTTCTTCAGTTCTTTCAGCTTGAGAAATGCTGAGCACATCTTCCCTCTTGGTTTTCAAAGTCCAGGCCTTTCCACATTTCATCATAATACTTTGTCTTCCTGAGCCGCCCTTTGAAATATCCTGTTCAACTCTTTGACTTCATCCTTTCTTCTTTTCGCTTTAGCTAATCTGCATTCAAGGGCAAATTTCAGTCTCTTCTGACATCCATTTTGGTCTTTTCTTTCTTTCCTGTCTTTTTAATGACCTTTTGCTTTCTTGGTGTATGATGTCCTTGATGTCATTTACAACTGGCTTGGTCTTCGGTCATTAATGTTCAGTGTGTCAGATCTATTCTTGAGATGGTCTCTAAATTCAGGTGGGATATACTCAAGTTCATATTTTGGCTCTCGTGGACTTGTTCTAATTTTCTTCAGCTTCAACTTGAACTCGCGTATGAGCAATTGATGGTCTGTTCCACATTCAGCCTTGGATTTAGTGGGGGAAAACCTGGTTACAGTAATCTAATTCTTAAATTTGATTTTTAACAAGTTCTCCTTCATACATCTTAGTAGTATTGAGAACATGGAAAGTGAAGGTACTTCTATATAAGCAACTTAATACATAAATATAGAAAATAATCCCTACAATATGGTTGTCAAAATAATCTTTCTTAACACTTTGTCAGTAAGTTCCAATTTTTAAAAGAAGTTCATATCTGTGACCTAAACCTTTTATTTCTAGAAATCTTTGGGGTCAGGGAAAGGACAGTAATCGTGTTTCACTTAGAAAGACAAATTTATATTCACAGTGAGATAGTGATTAAATTTTGACATAGCCTTAAGATTATGCAACCATTAAAAATGCTTTGAAAATTATTTAATAATATGAAAAAAAATGAGTCAAGTTATATTATTAAGTGAGACAGATTAGTAGAATAGAAGGTCCAGTAAGAAATCAAAATGCATAAATGAATCTAATATATATAACGGCTACTTCAGAATTGTGAGCAAAAGATGGACTATGTAAGAAAGAAATGGTGTTAAAGCAACTGGTTAGCCTTGGAGGGTGGGTGGGAAATAATTTTGTATGTATATCTTAAACCTTTGGATCAAGAAAAGATCAAATGTATCATAGAGGCAAATGTAAAAAATAAAATAAAGTTTCAGATTCAGGGAAGATCTTGCTATTATGTAAAATCTGTAAAAGAAAAAAACTGATAAAATTTTCTGCATAAGGAAAACAACAACAAAAACTTCCTGTAGTTAAAAAACACCAAATTAAAGTTAAGAGATAAATGAAAAACTAGAAAAAACATTTATAGTCCATTCACAGGCCAAGGGCTCAATTCTCTAATGCATTCAGTCCCCGGGTTACAAATGTCCAACTCAAGTACAAACAATAGTTATGAACCAACTCCTGTAAAGCCTATATTAACAATTTCAGGTATGTACAATGGTTCATAATAACAAATGGGCATTACTTTGTGACACACATCAAAACATTATTATTGTTATTGCTGTATTATTATGTTAAAGATGTTTTAGTGTATCTAGAAGGGTTTCTTTGATGTTTTTTATACATAGAAAAGTACTCAAACCCACCCACTCCTGTGGAGTTGGAATGTAGGACAGAGTAGAATAGCCTCATAGGATTTCTAAGGCTGTAAATCTTTACAGAAGTAAACTGCCACATCTTTTTCCCATGGGGTGGCTGGTGGGTTCGAGCTGCTGACCTTTCCGTTAGCAGCAGAGCTCTTTCCCCAGTGTACCACCAAGGCTCCTCTATAGAAAGGTACATAGTATACTGTATACTAAGACAGACTGTTACTAGATACGAACTGTACCTCACTGTTCCAATGTAATATACAAATTTGACTTAAAGATTTAAGAAGGGAACTTATTCGTAATCCAGGGATTACCTGTATATAAAGAATTTGTGAAAATCAGTAATTAAAAGATAACCTAATAGAAAAATTGGCAAAAGATATGAATAGATTGCAGAAAAGGACATATAAATGGCTTTAAAATATGGGAAAATTTTACCCTTATACTTGAGAGAAAAACAAATTAAAACTGAGATGCAATTTTTTTAGATTTACAGAAATTCTAAAGTTTAATGTCATTCTGAATTATCTTTCTGGTGTATATAGGCACAGTTGATGATAGGAGTGTAAATTGGTTCAACCTCTATAGAGGGCAGTTTGGTAATAGCATCAAAATTATAAAAATATGTACTCTGGGCTAGTAGTTTTACCTTTAGAAATGTTTATTATCAATGTATGTGTGAAATGACATGTACAAGGTTGTTAATTCCAGCAAAAAATTATAAACAATCTTAGTGTCCATCAGTAGGGGAATATTTGAGAAAATTATGGTACGTTCATATCATGGAATGTTAAGTAGCTGCAGAAGAGAGTGAGGAAGCACTTCATGTCTCACATGGAAAGATCTCTTAAGATATATTGTTAAATGAAAAAAGCTAGGTTTAGATCCATGTGTATAGTATGTTCCATGTGTTTAAAAGGGCTGGGAAAAGAATTTATACTCATACTTGCCTTTATATGCATTGAAAAAAATCTCGAAGGACACCTAAACTGTTAGTGATATGTGTGTATATGTTCATGTGTGCATACATGGAAGAAACTGGGTGGGTCAGGGTTAGGCACTGTTGCTTTTGTGCAAATTAGAAAACGATGCTGCTTCTTTAAGAACCTCTACTGTTTGTTAAACAATTAAAATGTACTGATCTTGTTAGTGCAAGGCACTTGGCAGCCATTCACTGGAAAATTTTAATGAAAATAGGTAATGTTGAAGGGTTTCTTTTTTGAAAATTCTAGACTAAGCTTTTTATTACATTAAGTTTTTTCTCTAGGAAACTTAATTTAACCTTCATTTATGCTTTTTTGATAATAATGGTTGCATAGTAGTGTTAAAAATATTTGATTTTATTAAAATCTTGTGGTTTATTCAGTTTATTTCAGTAAAATTTATTATTTTTTAAGAAAGTGATATAACCTTAAATTTTTTTGAATTTTGAATGATGTGATTCTAAAATATTTAATTATTAAAAATACAAGATGAAGTGAAAAAGTAAAATACAAAACTACTCATTCAATAATCATCCTTTTACTGAAAATTTATATGTATGTATACACAGATATTTACTTACATCTATGTATATAGTATAAACTTACATGGATATGTCATGTAGTTATATATATTGATGTAGTAAAATAATATGTGTATGTATACATGTTTATATGCATGTGTATGTGTGTTTGTCAAAAAATAGACTAGAAGGAATTAGACCAAATTGTAGTTACTTCTTCGTAGTAGAATTTCAGATGATTAAACAATAGTTTCTTTTTATGCTTTTGTATTTTCCCACTTTTTGCAGCAATTATGTATTAGTTGATAATAGTTTCATTTTTTTTTTTTTTTAAAGAATTTTTACTGAAGCTATTTTTTTCCTTCATGAAAAGAGTTTTTCAGCTTATATCCTTAATGGATACCGGATTGCCTCATTGTTCTAATGAGAAAATAGAGCTTGCAATTCTGTGGTTCTTGGATCAGTTTCGTAAAACATATGTTGGTGATCAACTTCAAAGAACCTCAAAGGTAGGTTTTTACTAGCGATCAAAAAAAACAAAAAATGTTATTGGAGATAAAGGAAAATGTGCACGTATAACAGCCTTAAGCCAAATGATATATTTCAGAAATTTCTACTTAAGAAGTTAAATTTGATCAATTGAGATCAGTTGATGGACTGGTATTGAAGATGATGTGAAGTTAATTTGCTTGTTTTATGCCTATATTTACCGTTTTCTTTAAAGGTTGATTGGGAGAAAGGTAGTTTTTTAAGTGAATAGTCATTAAATAGTTAAGATTATTTTAAACACCTTAATGGGCTTTTGACTTACTGTATTTCAATACTGAGAACATAAGATTTATTCTTTTAATAGTCCTGAGTTTTTTTGAGGGGGGAGGGTGATACTTATTTATGTGGCTTCCAGTATATTTCACTCATTGCTTGGCATTTTTACATAGTAAATATTGAAGACTATTGAGAATTGGATGTGTTGTTCAGAGGCCACTGTTAAATTACCTGAATTTAGGAGCTACACATAGTATGATAATTGAAAGTATAGCATCAACAAGTTTAGATTAATTGATCTTGAAGCATAATGAAGGTTTATTGAGGTCATTTATGTGAACCATAAGCAGATATTTAGTAGTACTTATGACAGTGAATAAGATCTGTAAGATATTTTTTTTTCCTTCCCGCAATAGTAACTGTTTCCAAAACATTCTCTGGTAAGAAGTCCTAAGGACAATCTTACCTTGTTTGGTTTTGTAGTTTGTTTATTAGTAATGTTGAAGGATTTCTTATCTCAAAATTCTAGGTTAAGCTTTTTTAACATTGAATTGAGCTTTTTATTTAGGAAATTTAGCTAAACTTTTAGTTCATTTATGACTGATAGTTATGTACTAATGTCAAAAAATATTTGGTTTTGTTAAGATCATCTTCTATTATAGGTAAAATTTTCTTCATTCTTTAAGAAAGTGATGTAGCTTGATGCTTCCTTTGTCAAATATATTGTGATATTTAATTGTTGTTTAGGATTAATATCAATAAAATTTTCTTAGAATTTAGCTTCCATTAAATAAGAGCATTAGGAAGGAAAAGAAGTAGTTAGAAATAAATGTTCTAGGTTGTCAGTAAGACATTAGAATCAGGCAGAAATTACATGGTATAAAATTTATACAAGATGCCTCTCTTTAAATCCCAAATGTGTTACTCAAAGGTTGAGTATAAATGAATTATGATAAATTGTCTTGTTTTAAATGTACCCAGAGAGTTTATTATTTTGCTTTTGCAAAAGTGGACAATGTTACTAATCTGATAACACATTAGCTCTGGATCGTAAATCAGAGTAGAATTATATTAAATAAGAAAAGCCTTCAAATTATTGTGTTTAAAGTACTTGGAAAAGGATATGTAAAATGAGACCAGTTGTTTAGGGAAATGGGATTTGGGAAATTATTTTTCAAAATTTTGTTTGAGATAAATTTAATTTATAAGGAACTTGTGAAAAAAGTGAATTATAGAAGATCAGTTTTTATTTTTTGAAAAATCTTACATATTAGGAAACAACAAACACATTGTCAAACTGGTGCTAATTCTCTTATTACAACTTTGATACTTTTTGGTGCGTGCATCTTACTGTATTTCAAAAGGAGTTTAGTCCTAACGTGACTATTTCTAAGGCATTCCTATCGCGTAACACCAAAGCAAAGCTAAAGGTTCCCACTTTTATATTGCTCTGGCTTGTCCATTGACCTGCCTTAATAGAAACCATTTTGTGGGGGGCAGGGGAGGTCTTTAATATGTCCCCTGGCACTCTTCTCAGAGCTCCTTACAACACTCTCTTTAGTCCTTACAACAAGCCAGCAGAGCTGGTATTCTCATTTTATAGATGAAGGAACAGAGTCCCTAAGACATTTGGTGAATAGTCTGTTTTTCTGGCAATAAACTAAGGAAGGCTAGGTGGAAAACATTTTTTGGTGGGTGTATTGTCGAATTCCAACTTGTGGCTAAAAAGGAGAGTGTGTTAGATAATAATAAGCGAATAAAGTTTTAATAAGCTGATAAAGCTTAAAAATTAGTGAGCGTTTATTTTGTACCAGGAACTGTGCTAAACACTAAACATTATCTCATTTAATTGGATCATAAAGAACATGACTTACAAGGTTCTTCCCAGTTCTTTTCTGCTTATGTTACTAGCTTCTTGTCTCAGTGCTCCCTGCCTTTCGCTGCATACTTTATGTGTACTGAACTTTTTTCACTTCCTTGGATGGTGTGTGTTCTCTCTCAAGTCTAGATGTTTGTACAAACTGTTCCTTCTTCCCAGGACACTGTTTTTTCTAAATTCAGCTTTCACCTCAGTGCCTTTACTCTGCTTACTCCTACTTATCTTTAACATTAGACATCCCATCTTTTACAAACGTCCTTCTTAACCATCAAATTCTGGGAGAGTCCCTTTTCTCTGTGTTCTGTAGCACTTTTATGCCTCCTATCTTAGCATTTATTATGTTGCATTGTAATTATTTGTTAGCAAAATATGTATAGACTAATAGTCTTGGTTAGGACTCTTTCTGCATTGTTTATTGTTATCACCCCCACATGCCTGGCATATTGCTTTTCGTGTATATCTACTAGATAACTGTTGAATGTATGTATGTTCCATAGGAATTGGGCCTAGTTCTCATGTATAATACTTTGAGGTAATGAAGAGTATGCTCTTGAGTTTGAAAATGATGTTGACTTGAATGCAATTGTTTAGCAATTTTAAATAAGGTATAATATTAAGCATCTTGAGGAGGAAAGCCTGTATCCACAACAGAATGTAATTTATAGAAATAAGCACTCAGGAATAAAGATGGAATCACTGAAGAGTCCTAAGTGATGTATATAATAGAAGTATGTCATAGAAGTGAGAAAGAAGAGTAGTCATAGTAACTGTCGATATTTATCAAACAGTCTGTGCCACGTACTTCGCTAACCACTTGACAGACATTATCTAATTCCATTCTCACCAAAACTATGGAAATAATTATTAACAAATTCCCTACCCCCTTTTTACAGATTTGAAAACTGAACCTTGGAGAGGTAAATAATTTGCTTGAGTAGTTGAACTTGGATTTGAACCCAGGCCACCTAACTTAGAGCCTGTGCTGCCACCCACTTTTCTATACTGCCTCCTATTGGATCTTTCAGACTCAGTAGGTTCCAGGAAGGGACTCATCATCTTCTAAAATGCTCTTCTCCTAATTTCTTATTTTAAGGACATTGAGCCAAGATATTTCCCCTTTGTACTTACTTCTTATATCTGGTCTGTCACCTAATCCTGCTTATTTTACTTTCTAAATATCTCTAAGTTCCACTACTTTCTCCTGCTCCCTACCTTTTTTATCCTCCTTGCACTATTTGTCATTTTTTCACTGAATTTCAAAAGTATTCTAATTGCCCTCCTTATTTCCATTTTGTCTTCTCCCCACTCCAGTTAGTTTTCCATACTGCCACCGGAGTAATCTTTTCTTTAGAAAAGCAGAGAGAATAATAAACACCCATCCAGCTTTTTCAGATTTTAACATTTTGCCATATTTGTTTCAGAGATATATGGTTTTGAATTAAACATTAAAGATCCTGTTACTGCTCTGATTCTGTTGCTTTCTGTTTTTGCCCAAAGGTAAGCCGTATCCTAAACTTAGCGTTATTCTCATGCATGGATTTGAGTCCCCCCCCACCACCACATTTCTGTGTACTTATAAACAAAACATAGTACTGTTAAATTTATGTGAAGGTATCATGCAGTTTGGATCCTTCAGTGACTTGCCCTTTTTGATCAGTATTGTTTTTGAAATTTATCCATGATGACACATGTAGTTCTAATTAATTTATTTTAATTATTGTTGGGCATTACAGTTTATTACTTTGTCACTATATATTCATTGTTTTCTGTTGGTATGTTAGGTTGTTTCCATTTTTTCAAATTTACAAAAATACTTCAATAAACATTCTTGTACCTATCTCCTCAAGCATATTTATGGGTTTCTCGAAGGTAAATACTAGGGTTGAAATTGTTGGGCCATAGAATCTACGTATCTTCAACTTTACTAGATAATATAAAGTTGCCCTCCTAAGTCATAACAGTTTGTGCTCCCTTCCTCACAGGATAGTTATGCGTTTTGATTGCTATGTACTGCCAGAATACTTGCCAGTTTAAAAATAACAATAACAACAATATTTCTTCATGTGACAATTCTCTGTTTTTTAACTTTCTATTATTTACAAAATAAACTCCTGTTTATGGACAAACTTTGACTACCTTTCCAACTTTTTCTTTTGACACTCTCCATTTTACTCTGTGACATGATTTGTATGGGCTGCTTGCTGCCTTTTCCCTGTTGCCTGTTCCTATTTATTATTCAAGGTTGGCTTAAGTGACCATGCATTCATTCAATGAGTATTAATAAATACTACTATGTATTTAGTCCAGAGATACAAAGACAAGCAGGATCTTCCATCTCCCCAGTAAGTTATTAGTTAAAAAGGAAAATGGGCAAGTAAAGAAAAATTATAAAATTTATCCATTTATGCATTGAAATAATATATGACAAAATAAGGAAAAGGCAGACTGTTAAATGCTTCTAGGAAATTTGGTTATCCCTATGTAAAATTTGGATTATTACTGGACATCATACAAAAATCAGTTCTAAATAGATAAAAGGACTGTAAATGTCAAAAGCAGGGATTATCTTTATGACCTAGGGATGGGGAAGGATTTTTTTTTAAGACATAAAAAGTCCAAACTGTAAACCCAAAGGTTGAGAAAGGCTACCACTTTAAAAGTAACTCCTGTAGATCAAAGGACACAATCTACACAGTGTAAAGACACAGACTGGAATGAGACATTTGCAATGCATGTAATTTAAAGAGAATCAGTACTCAGTTATGTAAACAATTTCTACAAATCAATAAGAGAAAAATAACCCAGTAGAAAAATGGTCAGAAGATGTGAATAAACAACTCACTGATGAGGAAATCACAGTGACCAATAAACATGAATTAAAATGTTCACCATTAGTAGGACTCAGGGAATAAAGCTACAATGAGATAACCATACCATACCTATTATCCAGAGAAAATTTAAAGGTCTGTAACACTAAGTATTGGTGAGGAAGTGAAATAGTGAGAACTCCTGTACACTGCTAGTGGAATCTAAGTTGGAAAAACTCCTTTGGAAAACAATTTAGCAAGATCTGGAAAAGTTGAATATGTATGCATTCTTGACCCAGAAGTACAAATTCTCACGTATACCTTTAAAAAGCTCACACATGTGCACAAAGACATATTTAAGAATATTTTGGTATTCAGCCATTGGAAAATGAAATTAAAAAAAATACCATCTACGATACTACAAAATAAAAATCAACCATAAAATACATAGGAATTAATCTAATGAAAGATATGTAACACTGTACACTGAGAATGCCAAAATATTGTTGAAAGAAATTAAATAAGGTCTAAATAAATGGACAAGGAGCCCTGGTGGCTTAGTGGTTAAAGCACTCGACTGCTAACCAAAAGGTGCACAGTTCAAACCACCAGCTGCTCTGTGGGAGAAAGACGTGGCAGTCTGCTTCCGTAAAGCTTTACAGCCTTGGAAACCCTATGGGCCAGTTCTGCTCTGTCCTGTAGGGTTGCTATGAGTCAGAATCGACTTGATGGCAGTGGGTTTTTTTGGCAAATAAATGGACAATTACGTACCATGTTTATGAATTGAAAGACTGGATATTGCTAAGATGTCAGCCCTATTCAAACAAATATTTGGATTCAGTACAATCCCTATAAAGGAACTAGAATATCTAAGACAGTCTTGAAGAACAACAAAATTGGAATATTTATATTACCAGATATCAAGATATAATAAGACAGAGTGGAAATGATTCAAGGATGGACAAATAGACCAATGGAACAAAATAGGGAGTCCACCAACAGAAATCTGTAAGTGATATCTGGTACAGCATTACAACAAAGGTGCTTTTGCAGCCTAGTAGGTAAAAGACCTTTGATACATGTGCTGGATATCAGTATAGAAAAAAAGCACGAACCTTCACCCCTACCTTATAACACAGACAAAATTAAATTCAAAATGAATTAGAGACCTGAGTATGAAATGTAAAACAATAAAGTATCTAGAAAAGAAATAAAGTGCCTTTGGAAGTGTGGAGTAGATAAAGATTTCTTGAAAAGGACACAAAAAATAAACCGTAAAATAAGGGATTGATAAGTTCGACTTTGTTAAAATTTAGAACTGTTCATCAAAGGAAAATGTAAAGGCAAGCTGCTGACTAGGAGAAGATATTTGCAATGCTTACATCTGACAAAGAACATGTATTCAGAATATCTAAAGAACTTTTACAAATAAGGAAAAAAAAAAAAACAAGGAGATCTATTTTTGGAATGGCACTGTGAGGAGCTCCATAGACCTGCTCCCCAGCACAACAAGCTTAACTGGTGAAAATAATTTAAAAACAACCAATTAAAATCTTTGAAATGGTCCTAACAGCATATACCAAATAAAGAAACATTTATTTAAGAAAATCTTCTAAAACTCAGAACAGCAAGAATTGTAGCATTTAAACCATGACCCACTCCTTCTGTCTTTTCACCCAAATCAGCTTGAGGGAAACTCCAGATAGGTAAAGCCAAGAACACAGGACTCCCCTCCCTCATCTCACAATTGAGGCTTACTGTATCTTTCTGGGAGGGCAGACCATATGCATTTCTCATCTCCAACTATGTCTTGCAGAGAATAAATTCCAGGCAAGTTCATCTACTCTGCCCCCACTCATAGGGCATAGGCTCTACTTCAGATGCAGCACACTCAGAATAGTGGGACCCTGATTGCTCTCACCCCAGCTCATTCATAGGGTGTTGGTTCCCACGCTGGAAGAGACAAGCCAAGGAGACCAGACATTACTGCTGCTACTCAGTACTCTTGTCCTAGAGCAGGTGTGTCACTCAGAAGCACGCCACTGTCCCTGCCCCTAGCTCTGGAGCCTGCCTGCCCAGTGGGCAACGCAGGCTATGAAAAAGAGAGCTTTGAAGTTCTCCCCAAAGAAACTGACTTTGTTTGAGACAGAGTATAGGGAAATTGAATGCCATTCAAGCCTAATGGCATTCTTAAAAACAATGGAGGTTTTGGTGGCACAATTAAGAGGAGGCTGGTAACTTCAGGAGAGAGAGAAAATAAACTATAGGCCAACCAGTTTACCAGAGAGAATCAGGGAAAGAGGCAACAAAGAAGTCCTCCTGGGGATGAGAACAAACCTCCAACACTGACCTCAAAAACACACGCCTTCAGGAGTATGAATATACTTGGATCAGAATGTGCAGCATTTATGTTGTAGGGCATTGTCAAAAATAGAGCAATCAACCAGCAGTTGGTGGAGCCTAACAGCTAGAGAGTCAAAGAGAATGCTGTTAAAACCACTAACATTCCAGAGTGACTTGTGCATATGCCAAAGACTCTGCCCTTTTAAGAGCAACATCAAAAACATATGTAATTGTAAAATACAGCATAAATGCAGATTTCTTCTACATTCTTCTAACTGATTTAAAAAGGAGTTGTATAATATATAACTGTATTGATGGCCCTATAACATATAGAAATGTAATACATTTGTCAGTAACAGCACAAAGGAGGTGGGTGGGAGAGAAGTTGTGTTTGAATAAGGAAAGGACATAAGGTGGTAACTCAGATCCACAGAAACAAATGAAGATTCCAGAAATGATAAATAAGAAGGTTAATGTAATAAGCAGTTTAAACATATTCTTTTTTCTCAACTTCTTTAAAAGACACAAAGGTGTCTAAAGTAATGATCATAACAGTGTATTGTTGGGTTTGTAACATATAGATGTAAATGTATAATAATAATAGCACAAATAGGGAGAAAAAGGAATAGGGCTATATAGGAGGAATATTTCTGTGTCTCACTGCAAATAAGTTAGTATACATCTGAAGTAGATTCTGATGGTAAGATGTATATGGTAAGCCCTAGAGTGATGGCTGAGAAAATAAATTAAAAAAAAAAAAAGTTAAAACAATTATTAAAGGTATTAAAGTGTTATATATTCACTTTGTGTAAAAGAAGGCAGTAAAGGAGGGATAGAGGAACAAAAATCACATGAGACATAAAAAAGCAATATGGTAGATGCAGAGCCAACTATGTCAATAATAGCATAAATTTTGTGAGTGGATTAAACAGTCCATCCAACAGGCAGAGATTTTAAAACTGAATAAAGAAAAAAATACATTTATCCAACTGTATACCTTCTATAGGAGACACACTTTATATTGAAAGATACAAATAGATTGAAAGTAAAAGAATGCAAAAGATAAATCATGCAAACAGCAACCATAAGAAAGCTGGAGAAGCTGTACTAATACAGAGCAAAATAAGACTTTGAAACAAAATGTCACTGGAGGTAAAGAGGGACATTTTATGATGATAAAAGGATCAAACTATCAGGAATATATAAAGGCATACCTTACAACAGTGCCCCAAAATACAGGAAGCAAAAATGGACAGAAATGGAGGGAGAAATAGACAACTCAACAATAATAGCTGGAGACTTCAATGCCCCACTTTCAATGATGGATAGAACAACTAAGCAGAAGAT